TTTTTTTTATAATAACTGAGGTATTTGATCCATTTGGATAGCAAAAATATATTCGATCTTGTATGATGGTGTGCTTCTAAAAATAATAATATAATTTTATTGATTTTGTCTATTATCCGTAATTATTTATATAACTATTTTTTAACATATATTGTTTTAGTAATTCAAATGGGAGATTCACAAGGAAATAATAAAGAAAAATGAAAAGAGAAAGAAAACTATGAAGCTTGGATTAAGGATGATTCCGATGAATTGTTACAATTGATAGTGGATGCTATAAAAAGAGGATAGAATATTATAGAGAATTATTATTATTATTTATCTAGACATTAATTTTTTTATTTATTATTTTTATCTTTGACTCTTTTTAAATTTGAATGTATAATTTTTTTTAAATCTTATCAAATGTCAAAACTCCACAAAATCCCACAGAATCCATTAAAATCATAATTTAAAAGTCTTGCAGAATCCATTAAAATCCTGATTTTAAGTCTTGTAGAATCTTGTAAAATCTTAAAAGTCATGAAAATCCTGCAAAGTCTTTTAAAATCCGCAGGATTTTTTTTAACTAAAAAAGTCCTTTAAAATCCTAATCCAATACACCCCCCTAAAATTTTAGGACAAAAAAATTACTCATTTCTTTTGATTTGGTTAATTGGTACAAAAGATATTATAGTAATTTAATTTAATTTTAAATGAAAATAAAATATTTTCTCTCTCTTATTAATTTCATTCTCCAATTCATTTATGTTTTCTATTAATTAATTTTTATTTGTTCGGAGAGAGGGGGAGACATCATGAGAGATGAAAGAGAAATGAGTTAAAGAAGAAATTTAATAGGAAAGAGATACTCCCTCCATTTTTTTCATTGTCATTTAAGGTTATGCACAAGAATTAAGACAATTATTGATATTTTAATTTTTCAAAATATTTATTACATATTTTCCTGTTATATCCTTTAGGTTATTGGAGAAAAAATAAGTACATTAGAAAATGAATAGACATATTGGTTAGTAAACATGCATTAATTATCAAGGGTAAAAATGAAAAATAAAATTAATAAGTCATTGGTTTTAGAAAAGTGATGTACCGGAGGGATCCTATCGGTCATGTGGACCAACACATGTCGTTTCGTCAGACACCCACGCGAACTGAACCACCACGCCCACACGAACCTCGACGTTAACATCGGCTCGGCATACAGCCGAAAGCTGAGAAGAGTCCGCTAGCAACCTCGGCTCGACTAAGGACCGGTAAGAGGAGCGCCACGATGCATCTCCATATGCTATGTATCAGCTCGGCCGAACGCTGACCAAGTAGGATAACTAAGCAAAAGCCTGTCGGCTCGGCCAATGGCCGAAGATATCCAACACCCCGAGACTTTACCTGTCGGCTCGGCAATGAGCCGAGGGATAAAGCAAGGATTACGGCAATGATCACGATTAACAAGGACAAGCGCATGATTAAGACATAATCAGTCGATTAGCGTCGTATTACCTAATTTGGTAAGCTTCAGAAGAGGCCCATCAAAGGTAGTATAAATAGGTCACTTATATCGAGGTACGTCACTGTTCATTAATTACCCTAGAAAATCGTCTTTGTCCTGACTTGAGCGTCGGAGTGCCTTTTGCAGGTACCTCCCCCCTCCGAAGTATCTACCTGAAGCTGTCGTTCGGCCCTTCACTTCCCAGAAGATTACGAGTGTACCCTTAGACAGGTACAAGTGACAATGAAAAAAAAATAACAAAATCTGACAAAACGACTATGAAAAAAAAATGGAGGGAGTAAATAAGTTAGAGAAAGAATTTAATAGGAAAGAGAAATGATTTGGAGAAAGAATTTAATAGGAGAGAGAAATGACTTAGAGAATGAAGTTAATAAGAGAGAGAAAATATTTTATTTTCATTTAAAATTAAATTAAATTACTATAATATCCTTTATACAAATTAACCAAATCAAAAGAAATTAGTAATTTTTTTGTCCTAAAATTTTGGTGTAGGTTGCTAACATACTCCCACTAAAAAATAGGTGGGAGTATATTAGCATTCCCCATTAATTAAAGGCAAAAATTTATTTTTGTCTCTACAATTTCACGAATGTACGATTTTATACTTCTAAATTTTTTATTGCAAATTCTGTAACAGCCTGATTTTCACAGATTGTACGAAGGTTCAAAGTCCAATAAGGGTGATTTAGTAGCCTAGAACAGGCCCGTTCCAAAACTGGAACAGGTCGTTCAAAACTACTAAAATTGCCTACAAATCTTAGTTAGGAACGAGGCGTTCCCAAATTGGAACGGTGTGTTCCAATTTACCAAAATGACATATAATCCTAGTTGGGAACGTGTCGTTCCAAAGATGAGAACGGGTCGTTCCAGAAATGGCCGTTGTGGGTTAAATTGCAACCCCTGAATGGGTCGTTCTGGATGTGAAATTTTACACATGACGAAGAGTCCAGAACGTGTCGTTCTAGATTTGAAACGGGTCGTTCCGGCGACGCTTGATGCCTATAAATAGAGTGCTCTAGCACTCCCAAAATGACACTTTTCAGTTCTGATTTCTTTCAGTTCTGACTTCTCTCTTCTACATTCTCTTTTTTTCCTTCTACACTCTTTAAAGATCGAGGGGCACTTAGAGGAGGAGACCAAGGAGATCTTTGTTTTAATTTCAGCTATTACTTATCGAGGTACGGGGGAAAAAGGGATTATTTGTATGCAAAGTTACATGAGAGAATTGGATAGAAGAGGAAGCTCGTAGGATTATGAGTAATTTTATAATTATTTCTTTTTGGCCAATTATTGGTATTATGAGATTCTGTATGTGTTTAGGATTATGGATATATGATTAATTTGTAAAAATGATGCTCTAGAAGAGAGAACGAAATCGTAGAAAAGTGTCTGTGAATTAGGTTTTGGGAAAAATTGGGGAGTGCCTGTGAGTTAGGTTTTGGGAAAAATTGGGGGTTTTACTATTTGAGTTAATATTCGATTAAATTAGTGATTCAATTGAGTGTTATATTAATTTATAAATGTTATTGTTATATTATATGGTAAAATTGATAATCTAGATGAGAATTCA